GGGAGGAGGGGAGGCTCGAGGAGGTCGGAGGAGGCGATGGAGGCAGGGGAATTTCCACTCCTTTGCTTCACTTTGCTGCTCCTGGCTCGAATGCGGAGCAATGTGGAACAAAGGAGCGGATGAACTCATCAATGATTTCATCAGTGGTGCCGCTCGATCCGCCAGAGCCTGGGGCTCCACTTTCCGTGCGATCCGCGCTGTGGTGTGGAAGAAATTGTTTTTGCTGCCAAATTATGTGTAGGTGATGATGTTTTGAATTAACGTTTTTGGCTTGCTGTGCAAATTCCCAGGGACCTAATGTTAAGTCGGGCCTGTCCGTCTACAGGAGGAATACAAGAATAGTGAGACAATGCTCTGGGGACGATGTTTTGACAATGTTTGATTATGTTAAGGTAATTTTGGTTACTTTTAATGTTTCGCCTAATATCCCCCTGTAGGGGGACAGGCCCGACCTAAACCTAATGATTCTTGTAAGGCTTCTGGTGCAGCAGTATCGCTATGATGTGGCATGTCGGCGTTGCGATATTGGCACCTTCCCGTCATCTTCGCCGCCCTCCTTCTATTCCTCGGTCCTCCTCCGCCCTCTTCCTCCCTCGTTGTCATCCTCGCCCTCACCGTTCTCCTCCTCGTCCCCCTCAAGCGCGTGGCGTTCGGCCCTCTCATTTTTGTTCATTCCCTTGGAGTGCTCCCAACTTCCTCCCTCAACCTGTGATGCAAGCGCGGCTCCTACGGTCAATGTATGTTACGTAGCACCCCGCAATTGCGGATAAGAGTGAGGGGGCGGGCGCGGGCGACGCGGCAGGACGCCGTGACGAATGCAAAAACAGCCCGCCGCAGGCGTCGAATTTGCGGTTTGTTCAGTGAACGTACTTTGGGTCGCGGGTGGGTCGCGGGCTCTCCACCTCCACCTGGAAGGAATTCAAAAACAGCCTGCCGCAGGCGCCGAAAATTTTGATTTGTACACTGAACGCGATTTGGGTCGCAGGTTCTCCACCTGGAACGAATGCAAAAGAAACCCGCCGCTGGCGCCGAAGTTTTGGGGCTTGTTCAGTGAACGTACTTGGGGTCGCGGGTGGGTCGCGGGCTCTCCACCTCCACCTGGGAGGAATTCAAGAACAGCTCGCCGCAGGCGCCGAAAATTTTGATTTGTACACTGAACGCGGTTTGGGTCGCGGGTGGGTCGCAGGTTCTCCACCTGGAACAGATGCAAAATGAACCCGCCGCAGACGCCGAAGATTTTGGGTGGGTCGCGGGGTGGGTCGCGGGTGGGTCGCGGGTGGTTCGCGGTGGGTCGCGGGTGGGTCGCGGGCGCGGTTTGGGTCGCGGGTGGGTCGCAGGTTCTCCACCTGGAACAGATGCAAAAGGAACCCGCCGCAGACGCCGAAAATTTTGGGTGGGTCGCGGGTGGGTCGCGGTGGGTCGCGGGTATGTCGCGGGCGCGGTTTGGGTCGCAGGTGGGTCGCAGGTTCTCCACCTGGAGCAAATGCAAAAGAAACCCGCCGCAGGCGGCGAAAATTTTGGGTGGGTCGCGGGGTGGGTCGCGGGTGGGTCGCGGGTGGGTCGCGGGTGCGTCGCGGGTGGGTCGTTGGGTGTGTCGCGGGTGGGTCGCGGGGTGGGTCGCGGGTGCGTCGCGGGTGGGTCGCCGGAGGGTCGCGGGTGGGTCGCCGGGAGGGTCTCGGGGTGGGTCGCGGGCGGGTCGCGGGTGGGTCGCGGGGTGGGTCGCGGGTGAGTCGCGGGGTGGGTCGCGGGTGGGTTGCGGGTGGGTCTCGGGGTGGGTCGCGGGTGGGTCGCGGGTGGGTCGCGGGGCGGGTCGCGGGTGGGACGACGACAACAACAAACAACGAACAATAATAAACAACAACCAACAACAACAACCACAACAACAACAACAACCAACAACAACACCAATAACAATACCAACAACAACCACCACCACCACCACCACCAACAACAACAACAGCAGCAGCAGCAATAACAACAGCAGCAGCAACAACAACACCAGCAACAGCAACGACAGCAACAACAGCAACAGCAACAACAGCAACAGCAAACATAAACATCATCAACAACAACAATAATCCGCATCGCGGAATTCCATTTCAGCCACGCACCCAGGGACAGTGAATGACCGTTCGGTTCAGACCCCTCACTCTGATGTCGTATGTAATGTCGGAGGTTGGGGGGTGAGATCGAAGTGGAACGGAGACCCCCCCACCGAGAAATCGGTCTCGGTTTCGGGTTCGTGTCGTGCGTTCGGGCGAGGCGAAGCTGCGTGGCCGGACGAGAGCAATGACCCCGCCGTGGCCAGGGTGGGCCCATCGGGGGGCCAGCGTGGCTGGGGGTGTCCCGCCGTGGTGTCCCGCCGTGGTGTCCCGTCGGTGTCCGTGTTCCGACGGTGTCCCGTCGGGGTCCGCGGCGGTGGCCGGGGGTGCCCCGTCGGTGCTCCGTCGGTGTCCCGTCGGTGTCCCGTCGGTGTACCGTCGGTGTCTGGTGGGTGTCCTGTTGGTGAGGTCGATAGAGTGGGATCACTCGAGTAAGATCGATAGAGTATGATCGATAGGGTGAGATCGATAGTGAAGGCGATGGTGAGACCGGTAGTGAGATCGATAGTGAGATCGATGGTGGCATCAATTGAGTTAGACGTTGTTTCTATCCCCCCCTCCCACAACCTCCTGATCACCCGTAGGGTGGTCCTTGCCAAATTTGAAAGATCGGACTGTTGATTTCCGCTGGCGGGGTATAATTCGGCCAATTCCGCGTCAAATTGCGAACGCATAGCTTGTTGCTCTCGACATCCAGGAACACTGGTGTTTTGGATGTCCATCGGTTTCCCTAGATGTCCGCCGATGTCCATGGGTGTCCCTCGGTGTCATTCGATGTCCCTGGATGTCCATAGACGTCCTTGAATATCCCTCGGTGTCCCAGGATGCCCACAGATGCCCTTCGACGTCCCACGCTGCCCCTCGATTCCCGCAGATGTCCTGGGAGGTCGCTCGATGTCATTCGAAGTTCTTGGAATTCTTCAACTGTCCTTGGATGTCCATCGGTGTCCATGGATGTCCGAGGATGTCCTTGGATGTCCTTCGGCGCTCCTGGATGTCCGCAGATGTCCTCGGATGCCCCTCGATGTCTCTGAATGTCCGCTTGTCCTTTTGTGTCCTGGGAACACTCTTGGGCCGTCTTGGGGGCTTCGCAGGCCGTTTTGAAACCATGTCGGACAGTCGCGGGGTTATCCCGCGAGGTCCGCTAGGTGGTGCAGGCTATGGTGGCAGGCAGCGGCTGGTGCCGTCGTGCTGCTTGCCACTACGGCCTGTGCCCTAGTGGCCCTCGGCCTGTGCGGAGGGCTGCGGTACCGTGACACACGGGGATCCCGCGCCCTCCACTCTTTCCCCTTGCCCGCCGGCCCTCATCCGAATCGGATGTTGCGCCTCGGCCTGATCCCAGATCCCATCTGGCCGTCCTGGGGCTTTTTGGAGGCTCCAGAGAGCTCCTGGGGTGCGTTGGCGAGCTTGTCCCCCCCTAGCCCCCCGGTCACCCCCTCAATGCGATTCGCGGCCCCAGGGGGAGGGCGGGAAAGTGGGGGGGGACAGCCAATCATCTCGCGCGCGTGTTCACCCCCGGCAAGCGGATGTCGGCAGATTCTGGCCCCCTGGGGAGATGATGTATCATGTCCACGGCCTTCCAGGGGTCCCCGAAGACCGATCTCCCAAATACCCGCCTCTCGTCCCTCCCTCCAGGGAGGGTCCCGAATTGGGCCTCGTCCTGGAGCGCCCGCCCTGCGGCGCAACTGCCCACGAGGTCGAGGCGAGCAACGAAGCAATTGTTCTCGAGGGCAGAACCTTTCGGTCGGAGTCCGGCGGGGATCTCCTTGATCTGTGCTGGACCCTCTTGAGGGTGCCGCCTCCAGGGCCGCCCCTATAATGTAAACCTACGGATTCCTGGGAAATGCTTTGAATCCAGGATTCGTTGATTTAATGTAAAAAATGACGGTTGTCACTCATTTAACAGTGTTTGTACTTGCCCTCCGTGTTCGCCTTCCTGCGTCCTCCATCTCTCCCATCCATCCTCCCTTTCAGGTACCCCAGGCGCCGTCGCCTTCCTTGTGCTCGTGATGATTTGTTGCTGCTCGTCGTTGTCGTCACCCTCGTCATTGTCGTTCGTTGTCCTCGCCTTCGTCTCGTCTTCGCCTCTGCCGCCGTCCCCGTCGCCCTCGCTTGACTCGTCGTCCTCTTCGCTGACTTCGTCCTGGTCTTTGCTGCCGCCGTCGTCCTCTTTGTCCTGGTCACCCTCTTCGCTGTCATCGTCGCCGCTGTCCTCCCCCTCCTCCTGCAGTCGAGACCGATGGTAAGGATGGGCAACCTTCCTAAAGGTAGTTGCCCTTGCACCCGCGCCTCTTTGGTCCGTTCTTGACTACTTCCGATGGCCCGCCGCGCTTTAAAAAACTTCAACACTGGCGTCGAAGGGGCTTACATCCTTCTCGGGCATATCCTTACTATCAGTTTTGACTGTATCCCTCGTCGTCTTCGTAGTCGTCGTCCTCGTCATCGCCGTCCTCCTCCGGTTCGGCGGCAAGACCAGGGAGGCAGTGCAAGGGGGCGGGTCTTCTCAGAAGGCTCGGAAGTTCCCCGGGTTTCTGAGAAGTCTTCGGAGCCGTCCCCGAAGACACAGAACAATTCTCAGAAGGCCAGAGGGCGTCTGAAAGCCCCGCCGCCTTCTGAGAAGGCCGTCTCCTCGCTTCCCCTCCCCGCTTGCCGCCGATCCTTACTACCAGTTTTGTCTGTATCCCTCGTCCTCCCGATCGACCTTACAATCGTCCTCACTATCGCTTCCACTATCGCTTCCACTATCGATCTCACTATCTATCTCACAATCGATCTCAAGATCCATAGTATCAATGTTCAGATCATCCACTGATGGGGTTCTCTCAGGTGTAATGCCTGTACCCCCCGCCGTCTCCGCTGTCGTCGCCCTCTTCGGCGCTGGCCTCCTCCGACCCGGAGGTGGGCTCCGGGACGACGGCCGGCTCGAGCTCCTGGAGGGGCAGATGCTCGAGGCGCCGCCCGCCTCCGGGAGGGGGGCCGGCTGCCCACGGAGGCTGCCGAGGAGGGGCCTTCGGCCGACTCGTCTCGGGCCGCCGCCGCCTCCAGAGCGCGGGGAAGGGGGGAGGAGGGATCCGCATGGGATGCTGCCCTCCGCCTCCTGTTCCTTCTCCTCCGGCTCCTGCTCCGGCTCCTGCTCCTCCTCCTCCTGCTCCTTCTCCGCCTCCGCCTCCTCCTCCTCCTTCTCCTCCTCCTCCTCCTCCTTCTCCTCCTCCTCCTCCTCCTCCCTCCTCCCTCCTCCCTCCTCCCTCCTCCTCCTCCTCCTCCTCCTCCTCCTCCTCCTCCTCCTCCTCCTCCTCCTCCTCCTCTTCCTCCTTCTCCTCATTTTGCTCCTCCTCCTCCTCCTCGAACAGACGCTCGTCCACACTTCCTCCGATCGGGGGTTTCCTCCGATCGGGCGTTGCCAGAGGTGGCCCCTGCCCAGGGCGGCCCCAGCGTGTCGAAGGAGGCCCAGCTGGCCTGCAGAGCACTCCCCTCGCGAAGCCCAGATTCGCATGCGATTTCTCTCACCCCCCCCCATTCCCGAGTTCTGTCCAAAAAGTTCTGCCGCTCAGAGAAAGGAGGAAACCCTAGGATACACCCCAAGGGGCTATTCGGACGCACCCCTGTCGAGGGTGAACGCTCCCCCATCATACATACCAGGGTTGGGCCCCAAACGTTTGGTTCATTCGAAAACTTACGAGGCCTGGGATAGGGGTCGACAGATCGCCTGTTACAGAAGGCCCTTCAGAGCGTTCTGGAACGCTCTGGAACAGCCGTCGGATTCTCTTCCGACGGGGCTAGGAAGAGGATACATCTATTCCAGAGCGTTCCGGAATGCTCTCAGAACGTTCCAGGACGTTGTGAAAGGCCGCGGCGCCCGATACATCTTCCAGATCCGCCGAATCTCAGATATTCTCGATTCATGCCCACCCGATTTTATCTAAGTTCTGGCTTCGTCTTATTCCGACGACGACGTCCTCGACGACGATGACGACGACGACGGCGACGACGGCGACGGCGACGGCGACGGCGACGGTGACGGCGATGACGACGGCCACGGCCACGGTCATGGCGACGTCGACTGCGACGGCGACGGCGACGGCGACGACAAGAACCACGACGGCGACGGCGACCGCGACGGCGACAACGACTATGACGATGACGACGACGACGGCGACGGCGACGGCAGCGGCGACGGCGACGGCGACGGCAGCGGCGACGGGACGGCGACGGCGACGGCGATTGCGACATCGGCGGCGACGGCCGCGACGACGACGACGACGATAACGACGACGACGACGACGATTACGACGACGACGTCGCTGACGGCCACGGCGACGGCCACGGACACGGACACGGCCGCGGCCACGTCGACGCGACGGCGAACGCGACGGCGACGGCGACGGCGACGGCGACCACGGCGGCGACGGCGACTGCGACGGCGACGATGATTACGACGACGACGACGACGGCCACGGCGACGGCGATGGCAGAGGCGACGGCGACGGCGACGGCAGCGGCGACGGTGACGGCGACGGCGACGGCGACGGCGACAACGGCGGCGGAGACGGCGACGACGACGACAACGACGACGACTACGACGACGACGTCGCAAACGGCCACGGCGATGACCACGGCCACGGCCACGGCCACGTCGACGCGACGGCGAACGCGACGGCGACGGCGACGGCGACGGCGACGGTGACGACGACGACGACGACGACGGCGGCTGTTGCGGCGACGACGACGACGTCGGCGGCGGCGGCGACGACGACGGCGACGGCGACGGCGGCGACGGGGACCACGACGACGACGACGACGACGGCGACGGCGACGTTGACGACGACGGCGACGGCGGCGGCGGCGGCGACGGCGACGGCGACGGCGACGGCGACAGCGGCGGCGACGGCGACGGCGACGACGATGACGAAAACGACGACGACGACCACACGACGCGACGACGACGGTGGCGGCGGCGACGACGACGACGACGGCCACGGCGACGGCGACGGCGACGGCGACGACGACGACGACGACGGCGACGACGACGACCGGCGGCGGCGTCGACGGCGGCGACGGCGACGGCGACGGCGATTGTGACGGCGACGGCGACGGCGACGACGACGAAAACGACGACGAGAACGACGACGACGATGACCACGGCGGCGGCGGCGGCGGCGGCGACGGCGACGGCGACGGCGGTTTTGCGGCGGCGGCGGCGACGGCGACGACGACGACGGAGACGACGACGGCGACGGCGACGACGACGACGACGGCGGCGGCGGCGGCGGCGGCGAACGCGACGGCGACGACGACGACGACGGCGACGACGGCCACGGCGACGGCGACGACGACGACAAAGACAAAGACGACGACGACGACCACGACGGCGGTGGCGGCGGCGGCGGCGGCGACGGCGATTGCTGCGGCGACGGCGACGGCGACGACGACGGCGACGACGACGACAACGACAAAGACACAGACAAGGACGCGCGGCTACGGCGGCGGCTGCCGGCCGCGCGGCGGCGCGACGGCGAACGCGACGGTGGCGACGCGACGGCGACGGCGACGGCGAACGCGACGGCGACGGCGACACGACGACGACGACCACGACGGCGAGACGACGGCGACGACGACGACGACGACGGCGACGACGCAGCGGCGGCGACGACGACGGCGACGGCCACGGCGACGGCGACAGCGACGGCACGGCGGCGGCGACGGCGACGGACGCGACGGCGACGACGGCGACGGCGACGGCGACGGACGGGACGGCGACGGCGACGGCGACGACGCGACGGCGACGCGACGACGACGGCGACGGCGAGGACGATGGCGACGACGACGACGAAAACGACGACGATGACGACCACGACGACGTCGGCGGCGGCGGCGGCGGCGGCTGCGGCGACGGCGGCGGCGGCGGCGACGGCGACGGCGACGACGGCGACGACGAAGACGGCGACGACGACGACGGCGACGCCGACGGCGGCGGCGGCGGTGGCGGCAGCGGCGGCGGCTGCGGCGACGGCGACGGCGACGGCGACGGCGACGACTGCGACGACGACGGCGACGGTGACGGCGACGGCGGCGGCGGCGGCGACAGCGACGGCGACGGTGACGACGACGGCGAGGACGACGGCGACGACGACGACGAAAACGACGACGACGACGACGACCGCGACGACGTCGGCGGCGGCGGCGGCGGCTGCGGCGACGGCGGCGGCGACGGCGGCGACGGCGACGGCGACGACGGCGACCACGCAGACGACGACGACGACGACGACGCCGACGGCGGCGGCGGCGGTGGCGGCGGCGGCGGCTGCGGCGACGGCGACGGCGACGGCGACGGCGACGGCGACGGCGAAGACGACGACGACGACGATCACGATGACGGCGGCGGCGGCTGCGGCGGCGGAGCAGGGCCGCGCATACCGCGGCCACAGGCCGCGCGGCGCGGGGACTTCGGCGCGGCCAGGGTGCTGAAACCTGAGGCCCGCCGCACCCGCGCCTGCCACGCTTGTCCTGTTATCCGATTTGCCTCTCCATTGTCTGTTCTTCCTCGCACCACTGCTCAAGTCCGTCTCCCTGGAAGTGGTCACACTGGCCTGGTAGGTTGCGTTTAAGTTTGATGGTGGGCCTCAGGCGGACGAAATGTAGGCGATTTCTACCGGTGGTCCGTCCAGCATCTTGCGATTGTGCTTCTCTTGGCCATTCGCAATGTATTCAATACTCGTCGAGAGGCGCGGGCCGGGGGCCAGAGACCGCGAGGACGGGGAGGTAGGGAGGAAGGGAGGCAAAGAGGCGGAGGGCGAGGCGGAGGAGGAGGAGGAGGAGGAGGAGGAAGAGGAGGAGGAGGAGGACGGGGAAAGGTTCGGCCACGCGAAGATGGGGGTAGGGTGAGAGGGAAGACTTCTTAGAAGCGCCCCTGCTTCTTTGAAGGCGCGGGCTTCCTCTATAGATGTAGGGCTGGCGCCTTCTGAGACGCAACCTCCCTCTAAGAAGCTTTCGGGCGGGTTGGGCGTCGCGTAATGGGGGGGCGACAAATTGGTCGGCAGAGAGGGCTGCAGAAAAGGGTGCCTCAAAGGGTCCCCAAGGGGTCTTCTCGGGTCCCAAAATGGCACTTTTCTCCCCCCCATTAATCGCCCCCCATAAAGCGACGCAGAGAGAAAGGGCTGGAGGCAGGCAGAGTGGCGAAGTGTGAGGAGGAGGAGGAAGGAGGAAGAGGAGGAGGAGGAGGAAGAGGAGGAGGAGCCTGACACAGGGGCCTTGTGGCTCACTCCCCTGGGCCTGTGCCGGGTACCAGCTTCCAGCACCGCTCAGCACGACCCGTCCGACCACGGCACCTCCGCGCCCTTCACAACCACTGCATGCTCGACGACAGCGCCACGACAACCGCCACAGCCACCACAGCGTCGGCGGCAACTGCCACCACCCCGACTACTACGACTGCCGCCACCACACCGACTTCCACGCCCACCAAGACGACCACTTCGACCGCCCCCCGCCCGACGCTCCCTCTTCCGCGTTCTCTGTTTCCCCTGTCGCCCCTGCCAGGCCGCCCCTGCCTGCATTTGTCATTGCGTAATTCAGTTGCTAAGTATGCTTGAGGCTCGGAGGCGGTGTGCCACGGGGCCAGTCCTCCAAGAGGGAGTGCCCAGCACGGGGCGTTTTCGGTAGTTAGGGACCCGGGGCCAGAATCCCGACGCCCGGGGGCCCCCTTTGATGACGGCGGTGGGGGCCCACTCGGGTGCCCCCGGGCATTTTCTGAAAGTTGACGGGGCGGAGGAGGAGGAAGAGGAGGAGGAGGAGGAGGACGAGGAGGAGGAGTACGAGGAGGAAGAGGAGGAGGTGGAGGAGATGGGGTTCGAGGGTCAAAGTTTTCGGGCGTCTTCGTTGATTCTCTGTGGTACTCTGCGGTCTTCTAGCCTCGGGGTGCCTTCAGCGGCTACGCTTCACCGAGAGCGTTGGCGGTGTGCCCGCCGCCAGAGGTTTGGGTTAGGATTCGAAAGCCAGTTATTTATGAGGGGGAGGGGGAGGATGACGAGAACGACAGCAGCGGAATGATGAGGAGGAGGAGGAGGAGGGGGGGATGCGGAAGGATCACGGCGACGGGAGCGTGGGAGAGGAGGGATGGGGACAGGGACGAGGAGGAGGAGGAGGAGGAGGAGGAGGAGGAGGGGATGGGAGGCGCCCAAGAGTACAGCAGGATGAGCAGGAAGAGGAGGAGACGGAAGAGGAGGAGAAGGAGGAGGAGGAGGAGGAGGAGTAGGAGCAGGAAGGCGCGACCGCCCCACGAAGCTGCAATGGGTCCAGTGCTTCAAAAGATTATTGCAGTGGTATTTTCGGTTTTTGCGCACCAGGCTATGTGTCCCCATTTCTTCTCGTCTAATCTTTCTCTTTCCCCTCTTCCCCCACCCTGCTGTTCTGGTACACGTTCGGGCGCCCTCTCTCTCTCGTTGTTTTTTTTGTTTCTCTCTCTCTCTCTCTCTCTCCATTATACTATAAGGGGCGCCAGTTGCGCACTCTTCTGTCACCCCGTCCTGCCAGAAACTTATTTCAGTGGTGGCAGTGTTGCCCAAGCGTTTTGCCAAGGGCTGGCGCATGGCATCTGTGCTGCATTGTACGTAGGAGGCATACGAGCAGGAGCTTGGATGAGAAGTAAGGAAGACGGGGACGAGAAGGTGGACTGAGGATGAAGAGGATGGATGACGCGGAGGAACTACTACAAGAAGGGGGACAACGGATGAGCAGGAGATGCCGAGAAACCACATTGATCCGCTAGACCTGCCGGGCCAACCTGCATGCGGGTTTGGCCCAATCTGCGGGGTTCGCGGTTCTGCTTGGTAGCCAAAGTTGGATACGAGCCTCGCCGTACCACATTGCTGTCTCGATTGGTTCCACTACACTGGCTGTGTGATCACGCATACGTGCCACGTGCAAGATGCGTGTGTGTGTGTGTGTGTGCGTGTGGCACAGCTCGGCCATATTGTGCTTCTCCTGTCTCCGTGGGGTGGGATACTATAACTTTGTGACCGCCTTCGGACGGTTGTCGGGCAGTATGGGGGATTCCAGCGACCTGATATCCCCCGATGGCCCGTGCCCACCCGCACCCAACACCCAGCGAGGATCCTGTCAGCAGAAGCGTCGGGCCAGGTTTGGCTCTTCCCGATCCCCCCAGGTGCGTCATCGTCTACGCAGGTTCACTCTTTTCCCCTCTCCAACCGCTGATTTCGGAGTCGAGATCACGGAGCCTACCCCTTAACCAAGCCTGCTGGGCAGACCGGGGCACGCGTGCGGTCGCCGGGTTGAAGGCGCATTTGCCCCAATGAACTCAGAACGACTCGATTATCCTCAGGACGCGTGTCGGCAGAAGGCTGCTTTACCGCGTTCTGTGCCGTCGATCGCACGCAGCTTGCATCGGCCCTCAGTCGCAGTGGCAGGCTCTGGTGGACGAGCACACATTGGTGCCGACACGCGTGGTGCGGATCACCGAGCAGCGCAGGCCTACGTGCTCATTCACAGTGGCGTCGGATCTCGCCCCAAGGCGCGCGCGTGGGCGAAACACATGAGGCGTTCTAGCAACGGCCTCCTCTTCGAGGATCGAGGGAGTGTGCATTTGTGGCCGAAGGCGGCAGAAGTAAAAAGGGGCGGTTCCGCCGACGGAAGCCAGCGGAAGCCAGCGGAAGTAAAACGTGCACCCCCAAGAGAAGCAACATTTCTGGGTTCAGAGGTTCCAGAACCAGCCACATGTCCGCATCCGCAGCTCGAAGTCCCGACCGCGAGGGAGTGGATCTGTTTCCGTCCGCCGCACGTGACATGCCGCTCAGGAGCCAGGCGCGCCATGCCCGAGCGTTCGGCGACTTCGTTGACCTGCGAGTGACCTGCCGACTCCTGCGCTGGCGCACTGCGCTGCCCGAAATGGTCTTTCGCGCATTGCCCTCGGCCTGCCCGCGGGCCTGATCACTCCACGTGCTGTGGCCCCCCCTTGCTTCGGCCCGAGCAGGAGGAGGAGGAGGAGGAGGAGGAGGAGGAGGAGGAAGCGAGAGAAGAGGAGGATGAAGAGCAGGAGGAGGAGCAGGAGGAGGAGGAGGAGGAGGAGGAGGAGGAGGAGGAGCAACATGAGGAGAGGAGGAGGAGGAGGAGGAGGAGGAGGAGGAGGAGGAGAAGGAGGGAGCAGATGGGAACAGCCCGATTATAAAGGCCACCTAGCCCAAGGCGGTCGCAACCCTGTTGCCGCATGAACGCTTCAGACCGAACAGCGTCGAAAGGGGAGGTGTGAGGGGGATGGGGGGGAAAGGAGGAGGAGGAGGAGGAGGAATAGGAGGAGGAGGAGGAGGAGGAGGAGGAGGAGGAGGAGGAGGAGGAGGAGGAGGAGGAGGGGAGGGGAGGAGGAGGAGGAGGAGGAGGAGGAGGAGGAGGAGGAGGAGGAGGAGGAGGAGGAGGAGGAGGAGGAGGAGGAGGAGGAGGAGGAGATTTTATCCAGACGGGGCCACAAGCGTGCGCAGGCGACGCAAGCGGACTCAGGCAGACGCCTGACACGAGGAAAAAGATCTCGGGCACCTCCCGACGGGAGTGCCACTCGAGGACGGGTCAGGAAGCCACCCCTACTCGGCATGATCGTCGTCGACCACGGCCAATCCCCCAAGGGTGGCGTCGATGACGACCTCGCCGAAGGGGCGTGGCCTCGGCTGACCCTTTGCAGAAGGCAGCAGCGGCCGCCCAGTGCGAGGGTGGAGGCCCTCCCAGAGACGGTCTAAACGCAAGCGCGTCTTGGGGGGGCACCCCGCCGTGGCAAGGCTGCGCCAGCAGCTGCGCATTCTCGCTCGAGTGCGCACCGCACGTGGCGCAGAAGACGAATTGGCCCACGTGCCAGACACGGTGCCCTCCGCCTGGGGCACACGCGGGAGGGTCAAAGGCCTCGCTGTGCCGAGCAACACAGAAGCACCTCGCACATCTGACACCTCCTTTGGGCGCGGGCACGGGCACATGCACACCAGAGGGCGGCTCTTTGTCCGCCGAGAGGACTGGCGTCGACCCCCGCCTCTGCACCCGCCGCAGCTGCCCGTGGCGGGGCGCCGACTGCGACTTGGGGCCGACGGCCTGCAGGGTCCTGGCCAGAAATTTGGCCACAAACGCGACCAGTTTGACAGAGCGCTGCACGCGCGCGCTCGCCACTGCATCCGACGGGTGCAGTACGGTCCATGCGAGCGCCCTCGTCAGCGTGATGGTCCCCCCACCTCGCGACGGCACCACGCTCCTGCACATCGTCGTGACGGCGCCGGGCGTGGCCCTTGACTTTCAGCATTTCGACCCCTCCCCCCCAAGTCGTCCACCCGTTCCCATATCTGAGACCACACGTCAGCACCCTCGCACGAGGCACCCGTGGTCTCAACTCGGCCTCGCTGGAAAGTCGTGACCACCCATTCGCAGCCCGTGTGGTAGCGAAAGGGGCCAAGCGAAACGCGCGTGAGATACATAAGCAGGCCATGCG